TCTGTGATTCTTCCCTTATTCTGTTGGCAAAGGGGAATCCTCCCCTTGCTAGGGCCAAGCAGGTGACAAGGTCACGTTGGTGGGGTCTTTGGAGGAACGAGTGTTAAAATATGCATCGGATATGGAGCCTCCAACAACTGCACATTTGTGAATGCAACAGTCAGATAGCAATAGTACTTACCGTATTTTTCAGAGTATAAGACGCACCTTTTCCCTACTAAAAGAGGGTGAAAATTTGGGTGTGTCTTATACACCGAATGTAGCCCCATCCACCCACCATCCCCCACCCTTTGGCCTCTTCCAGCAATTTACCTCCTTGCAGCAAATGGAGAAAATGGGGCTTGCAGAGGCGGCAATAGGCTATGGCAATCCCTGCAGCCTGAAACAGCTGATCGTCGGGAGGACCAAACTGAAACTGAAACTGAAAGTGAAACTTGCTGTTTGCTGGAAGGAGGCAAATTGCTGGGAGGCAGAGACAGAGTCCCTCTCCCTTGTTTTCCTCCCCAAAAGCTAGGTGTGTCTTATACTTTGGAACGTCTTATACTCTGAAAAATACGGTAATTTCTTCTCTTTTTTTTTCCCCCCTCCACTCTTCTCCTGCAGAGTGTCGAGCTTGTTACCACAAGGGCTGCTTCCGGTCGGGACCCTGCCCCAAATGCGCCCGCCTGCAAGCTCGGCGGGAGCTCCTGGCCAAACAGAGCCTGGAAGCCGACCTCTCCGACTACGAGCCGGACGAGGACACGGTGGGGGCAGCCACGTGACAGCCGAGAAGCTGCAAGTCGCCGCACCTCCAAAGACTGCACTGACCCAGCGGCGAAGCCGGCCGCTCTCCGAAGCCCCAGCAACGGAAGGCCTTCGCGGCTTTGGGCCTTTGAAGCGAAGTTTCTCTCCTTCTGCTGGACTCGAGCGAACAGGTTCGGCTCTTGCGGACAACAGATGCACGACGAATGTTCCTTTCTACGGAAAAGCGGAGGAGATGGCTCAGCGTGCGTCCTACAAGCTCCATCCATGGGGAGAAGCCAAGGAAGGGCTTTCCGGAGGCGGAGTTCCCCGACAGGATCCAGCCACGCTCGTAAAAGGGAAAATCAACCGTCCTTTCTTGTTTGACTTACCGCAGAGGTCCCGAAACTTGGCAACTTTTAAGACTAGTGGACTTCAACTCCTAGAATTCTCCAGCCAGCTCTGCTGGCTGGAGAATTCTAGGAGTTGAAGTCCACTAGTCTTAAAAGTTGCCAAGTTTCGGGACCTCTGAGTTACCGTATCGGTTGCTGTGTGCCGTATAAGGCCATTGTGCTGTTGTTATTATTATTATTTTTGTCTTTTTAATTTTCCTTTGCACCCCCCCGATCCTCGCCTCCAATTCTCTTATTTTCCTTCGCTAAATCCTCACCCCTCTTTCTCCCGAGGAGCCAGAAGTATTTAAAAAAACCTCATCCTTTTAAATCTCGGGAGAATGTTAGTGGGGAAACGGGAGTCGGATAACCAGAACGGCACACCCGGATTGGGGAGGGGGGAGTGCTGAGAGGACCACAGTCCCTTCCCGGCTCCTTAAAAGGATCCGTGGGCGAGAACACACACACAGAGGCATACGCACAAACTCACACTTTTCTCCCTGTTCATCTGAAAAGCCTCTCTCGTAACTTGAATGACGTCGGTCGACTCGCAACCTGGACGATATTCCAGCGAGGGGGAAAATTGGTATATTTTTTCCCCCTAAACATAAAAATCTCCCCACTCCCTTCAGCTGTTTCAGGCTGCAGCGCCTCCCCATAGCCATCCCGGGCCCTAGATCAGGGGGTGTTGGGAGTACCCCACAGCTGGAGGAAGGGGGCCAAGATCAGAGGCCTGTTGTAAGTGGCTCCTGGCGGCATAGAGGGAGGGAGTTCCGGATAACGGGTAGAGGTGTCGTGAGTTCTAATGCTGCTCTCTACCTCCCCTGATAGTTGTGGTTTGGAGATTGGCCAAAGTAAGTTAGGAAGTGGGGTGTGGAGGAAGTTGTCCATTGCTTGAAGATTTCTTGCTGGCCAGGTGAGGTTTCTGGCAGGTTGCACAGCCGTCCGTAAGTGACTCTGTAGAGACTCTGTCAAAAGCTGGGAAACCATAGTTATCATCGACACTCGAGGGGCGAATTTTAAGAAGGCTGCAGATCGCGAAGGAAGATGATCTCCTGCCCCGATGGATGAGCCTTCTCCAAGGGGCGCAGTTTTATTTGACTTTTAAAGTCGCTAGTCCACAGGACTCTCCCCTAAGCTGCAGAGTTTTTGGAGTAGCTCTGCTTTCCCCTTCCCTCAAAACACAGTTTTTCAACCTCTGCCCCCTTGGAAGATGGGTGGGCTTCAACTCCCAGAATTCTCATGGCTGGCTGAGGAATTCTGGGAGTTGGACATCCACAAGTCTTTAAAAAGTTTCCAAGTTTTGGAGTCCCCTGTTTTAAAAGTGAAAGGCAGTCAGGAAAGGCCTGAAAATTTTTTTTTTTTAAATAAATAATAATTGCACCATTTTTTAAAAAAGAAAATCACAACACGGATGGATCTAAACATCCCTGCTTCAGCAAGGCGCTGCTTAAAGGGAAAAAAAAAACATTTTCTTTATCCCAGGATCGCAGGTTTTACCTGCGGCTTTCTTCTGAGGCTTAAGGCCCCCTTTCCCCCAAGCTCCTGTTCGATCCTAGGTATCTTTCAAAACAAAACAAAACAGGAAAGCAACCCAAATTCCAGGGGGGGAAAAATACTAGATCTGTTAAGCAATATCAAAAATCGAGATAGTTTTTATGACTTGGCTCCCAGATGGGCAGATGTAACATGCCAACCAGACTATCTGAGCAGTATTGGCACAGGGGTGGGTGGGAATGAAAATTAATTTTATCAATAGTGGAAGGTGGCAGACACTCTTAACCTTTGCAGTGTAGAGAACTTCTAGAGATCCGTTTCCTTGGGAGTCTACTGATAAGGTGGCCTTCTGTATAGAAAGGGTCTCCAACCTTGGCAATTTTAAGCCTGGAGGACTTCAATTCCCAGGATTCACCAGCCAGCTTTGCTGGCTGGGGAATTCTGGGAGTTGAAGTCCTCCAGGCTTAAAGCTTTGCTGGCTGCAGAATTCTGGGAGTTGAAGTCCACCAGGCTTAAAGCTTTGCTGGCTGGGGAATTCTGGGAGTTGAAATCCTCCAGGCGTAAAGTTGCCAAGGTTGGAGACCCCCTGCTCTACAGGGCTGCCGAGAGAACATTCTGGAACAGGGCTTGAAGACGGGTGGACTTCAACTCCCAGAACTCCCCAGCCAAACTCCCAATTCTGGGAGTACGAAGGCCACCCGTCTCCAAGCGGCTGCGGTCGAGAAACGGTCTTCTCGAACCCAGAAGAGACGGTGATCCAAAATTGAACGATAAATTGAAACTCCGGGCACTTGATTCCTTCTTCGCTCAGCATCCATTCTGGTGAAACACCCACCCACCCCCACCGCCCCATATCAAATGAATTAAACTTCCAACTAAATCAAATGAACTCAAAATTCCAACTAAATGCACAATGCCTTCCTGAAAATGTCTTCTTTCTTAGCTTCGTGGCCCAAGCGATGCAGAAACACCAATTTAACACCCACTACCCCAATCTCATTAATCTAAACCATTTTTAACCAAGGGAGTCCTGATCTCACCCCGATAATTACATTTATATTAAGTATATTTAAATTTACACTGACCCTGTCCATCTCCTTAAAAAAACCTGGCTCCCAACACACCTCTATTTAACGCAATTTTGGGGGGGGAATCACAAATGCACACGGTGTTATTTTTCTTTGTTGAACAGGTTGCTTCCACTGTGTTGCTTCAAGCAAATCTTTGAAGATTTTGGATAGCGGACTCGAGAACGTTTATTTATCTTTTGCTAGCAAAAGCTAATTTTCTAAAAGCACTGATTCCGTTTTACAAAAACCAGCCAGGGTTCACTTTAGAAATACCAGAAAGAACCAAAAAATGATGCACCAAAGAGGGATTTCGGATGCTTCAACGGTGCTCAGAATGGCTGGAGCTGTTGATTGTAATACCCGTTTGGCAAAAAAAAAACACAAAAAAACCAGTTTCTTATCTGTGTTGACTAAAATGTTCTTTGTAAAAAAAAGAAAAAAGAACACACTAATTGAACCTGGAAATCCATCCATTATTCCAGACAAGTGTAACCATGGAAATGTCACCTGTGATAAAACAACAACAATAATAATAATAATAATAATAATAAGCAGCCTTTGTCTCTGGTATGTTTATGCTTGGTGGAGTGTTTCACAACTCAAATATTTTATTTAAAACAATACAATAAATTCGCGGAAAATGCTGTATGGGATGGTAACTGTCAAGGTCAAGATCTTGTGGGATTTTTGCATACAAACAGACAAAATACTGGTGCATAATACACCAGACATCACACTGGTTGAGAAAAATAAGGTCACAATCATAGACATCGCAATACCAGGTGATAGCAGGGTAGCTGAGAAGGAACATGAAAAAAATCACAAAATACCAGGACTTAAAAATCA